AAGATCATGAGTTTATTTTTTGAATAAAAAGAACAGAAATAAACGAAAATAAAAATAATGGAATTATTTTTTATAGTGGATTTTTTTCTGGCTAATAAAAATTTATAGACCCGGACCCGATGGGCTCTAAATATCAGAGGTTTGCATTTCACGGAGGAAGGATACTTTGCCAGCATCCAGTTTGGCACTTAAATGCACCATGTTTTGCCGGCTTACTCTTCGGAGCTTGATGCACGTAACAAGTACACAATTATTTCAGAACCGTATATCTGGTGGAAAGTGAGTCCTTTTCGCCTTTTCTATTGTTACAAAGTTGAACTAAATGGTTTTTTTGAAGTACGGCTAAGTCAGAAGGTATTTTAGAAAATTAAATTCGAAAGTGAATGCTTCAAGATTATCATCAACGGTTGATCTAAGGGTATCCAGCTATATTTTTCAATTCTGGTTTGTCATGGGACTGGAATTAGATCTCAAAATATACGCGAGATAGATTGATATCGATATTTGGATAAATGAAGACTTTCTTAAGATCTTGTCGCGAGAGCGTGCCTTTATAGCGATCACGTCGGGAGTAATGGGAGTTCATAGCGACAGCGCGATCGCTATGGCATGACAGTTGACCTAGGGGATCTCTTTTGAGAAACGCAGTTCTTTCCAAAATATTCGTTTCTCGAAGAAATACTTCTTAATCAATTAAAAGAGATATATGGTAAAATATGGATTTGTATCTCTTTTGAGACGTAGCCCTGTTCATTGTTTGAATTTTGACACAGTATTATATTAACGTTTTTTTTGTGTCGTTTACATAGCTTGCTATTTTTATATTTTTGGCCGATAGTGAAGCATCCAAAAGAATAAATAATAATTTTTTCATCATAATGCATAGAATGAAGAGGAGTTTCACATTCAGCCTTTCAAGAACTACTCTAACAATATTTTCCTATTCTCTCTATAGAGGAATATTTTCACTCTCACCAAGAAAATACTTTGCAGCAAATAAGCACTGTATAACAATAGCGCAAAGTACTGTCACATATTCGATATGACTTCACAAAAAAAAAATGCTTCTTTAATCCAGTATTAGATACCTTTCACTACCTTGAAATGTAGGTATAGGTAAAAAGTACTCAGCAGTTACGCATGGTGTGAGTGTAGAAAAGTACTGTATTAATACGTTTTGTTTACGTTGCTGAAAACTTTACCATGAGTGCTGGACAACTTTCCGTTACAGTCGTTCAAGCTGAAGGACTTCATGATAAAGATACTATTGGTAAAAATGATGCTTATGTAGAATTGTACCTTGACAAAGATTATAAACAGCGAACCTCAACGAAAAATAATTCTAATTCGCCAACATGGAACGAAACTTTTATATTGTATGTAAATTCTTTTCGAAAGATAAAGAAACTTATGTATAGTCGAATTTTAATTTTTAGTAATGTACAAGCCGGTCAACATACACTCCATCTGCATGTTTATGATGATGATATCGGTGATCGAGACTCAATTGGATCAGTTAAAATTGATTTGAGACCGATTATGGAAGGAGCAGCATTTGATCAATGGGTGAAGCTTCCAGCACATTTTGGATTAGGCTCACATGGTAAAGTGCGCGTGATTATGACTTTTACAGTAATATGGAATGATTCATTATGAGAAGAACTGATTTGTTGTCACATTTTAGCTGTCAATGTAAAACATTCAGTGTATTACATAGAACATGCCAATGGGACCTATACGAATAATAACTTAAGTAAAATGACATAAAATATTTAGTTATGTAGCATGATAATTTCTTATATTTAATAAATAAGTGTTGAAGAAAAGAACTGAAAATCTGATCTAAGCTACAACTTATGTACATTTATCAAATGTCATCGATTGATTACCTGGTATAGTGCAGAGATCCGATCCATGTTCATATCGAAAGCGAAGGCTGGCTGGCGTACAGACTCATTCGTGATACTTTTGTTGGCATATAAAATGTATTTAGTTTATCGCTGCTGCCATTTGCGAAGTTCAATTAAATACATCAGTCCGTACGATATTGCAATCATGATTAGGAGTGGCATCCTTCTGATTCAATTCTTTTGAATGAGAACTGATTACTCGTGTTTCATACATACTCTAATTGGTTATTAGTTCTTTTTAAATTGTCAAATTTTTAATACAACTTAAATATAGAAGATATAGCAACAAATACATGATTAATTGTTTTATGTACATATATAGCAGGTCCATATGTTTTTTGAGAAACTATACAACGTAGCAATACACAGTATAAATATCCACGCCGAAACAAAGGCACAGCAAATGTTGCTTAGCGATACATGTATATAATCATATAAATCAAAGGTTTTCGAAGCTAAAAATTCAAAACTCGTTCTATTTATTCAAAACTCTTCAGTTGAAAATGATGCATTGCGTTTTTTAGTTTTGATTCTAGCAACTCACACAACTGATATAATCATATATATGTCTTAAAGCATCTCTTCTAACATGCATACCCACAAAAATTACCTACAGATTATTTCTGTTATTTTCTTAATTCTTAAAATTCTTTGAATAGTTAACATCGTAAATTAGAGGATGAGCTTGTGCTTGAGAATGGAGTGCCATGATCGCTCAAAGTCATATTTTGACTTAGAAAAAGGTATTTTTTAGTTCACTAGATAAACAGTTCACTATTAACACGCCAGCTACAAACACAATAGCTCGGGCAAATCTCCTTAAATTTTTTATAGATCCAAAGATTCTGACTGTTTAGTGCATTTCACTGAATGAAATAAAAATTTTTGTATTATTTTGTAGAGCGTATTTCGTTCTATATGAAAAACTAAACTTTTTTAAAATTCGATGGATATCTAAGATATGCCAGTAATTAAAAAATTAACTGATGTATGGAAAATATAGAAAAAAATACATATGAACATTGTAGAATACCTATTCTGGATGAAATTTGTCTATTTTTTTCCGTTCTTTCGACATGTTATAGAAGAGAGTGTTGTGAACTAGTTTGTTCCAAGAAGCAGCCTTCGAAAATGTTTCTGGCAGATGCTAGAGATTTTCTGACGCTGCTCCAGTTATTGTTGCTGTGTTGATCCGATTTACCCATAGCATTTTTTAAAACATAAAAACAGTGGTACGGTACGTTCAGTAGAATCCCATTTTCTCCAGGACGTCTTTTCCGAACGACTTCAAACTTACGGTCCCACAGAGATATGTTTGGACTATCGACTGATGAAATTTTTAGTTAATTATGACCAAAGGCTAATGAGTAGGAAATTGGGAAAGTTAAAACAATGATGTTTTGCTGGAGTGATCCGATTTACCCCATCGTGCGTTGCTTGACTGATCCAAATTCCCCCAATTGGGATAAATCGGATCAGAGCGACTCAGAGGGACTCATTTCATTTTAATTACAGATAAGTAATTAAAATGAATCTTAAAATAATTTTTACATCAGTCGATAGAAAAATGTTCAAATTTTCTACCTGTGAAAAATATTTTTTTCTAGGATAAAAAATGGCCGAGTTAACTAAAACAATACGGAATTTTCCAAAATTGATCCGATTTCCCCCAACTGACTCTACGAGGCGAGGTCTTTAAGCGTACAACTCCGTTGATTTATATCTTTATTGTTTCTAATATAAGGCCAGCAGCGAACCATTTTAGGGCATGCATAAGATAGGCTACATTTGAGTGATAAAGTGTAACAGGTGAAAGATGAACAGTTGAAATAATATATTAAAATAATAATATAAAAAAAGTTAAAAACCGTTTTTAATGATATTATGCCAGTTAATAGGGGAAAGTGAGTTGATAAAAACCCTTAAAGGAGGATCCATATCAGTTCTTTCAAAAGTTATGAATTTTTTTGTTCTAAAGGAACACTGTGTGTAGTAACAGTAATTATAACATTTCATCATTGAAGCAAAAGAAACAATATCAAGTCTATTCAATATTTTCCAGAATATTTGTTCAGCATTTTTCACATTAGCCATTTTACCATATATATCAATTCATGCATTTTGAATATATAAATTGTTCGTGCCGAATCTATTATTTTCCAGTATTTTCATATGAATTGATTTCTGTTTTCCTATAATTTAAAAGTGCAACTGGTATCGAATCTTGTTTTTAAACTGATCATCATTGTCTTCAAGCAAGTACCGATAAGCGGCCGTTTATATAAAAGGCTAGATTTCCTGTACTTCCCAACCTTGAGCTGACACCAATTAGAGACCTGCACAGGTTAAGAAAACGTAATCCGAACCAAACCCGACCCGACCTGACAACATCTTAACCGAACCCGACCCGATCCGATAAATTTTTACTCTTTTGTTTTGTTCTTAAGTTTATGTCTTTTTATTTATCTGTTTGTTTAGCGGAGGGCATCGCATTACAGGCGAATGACCTTTTGCTAATAGTCTGCTAATATTCCAAAAAGTTTCAGTGACGATTCTATTAGTCGGAAAAAAATGTTCTACAAAAAGCATCGTTAAAGAGGAAAAGAGAACTGAAAAAACGATAAATGGAAAAATAGCTTTTTCTCTTCTATTTTACGCTTCAGATTCGGGTGATGGCATGCAACAGTAAGATCCGATAAAGATCGAGGTATTATCTTTATGCCATGCTTTTGAGTAGTCAAAATAGTAAAGAGCAACTGCCTTTTTGGTACGTGATCTCTTGACATGAAGAATGGGAAAAGAGTCAATGCACTTAAAAAAAGAGACTCATCTTTGCGGAACTTTTCTAATACATACTATAGCTGATATCAAGACCTTTTCTCCGTTTCTTTATCATTCTTCAACTCATTTTCTGTCTCAACTTCATCAAATATAATGGTCTAAATTTAGATACCTTTGGTCTTTGGTTTCTAACGAGAATTTTCGAAAAAATAATTTTCCTCAAACTTTCATTGTAAATTTAAATTATAAAAGCGTAACTTTTTTAAAAATGAAAAGTGATTTTTTTCATGCGTGAGAAAGTCATATCGAGGTCTCATATGTTCCATTTTCATAAGCGGCTGACCCAAAATCAAGCGTTGAAGCCTTGGGGACTTAAAGGGTTAATCTCGTTTACTTATGTAAGATCGACTTTTTGAAAAACACTGATATCTCAGAAACGGCTTCTGGTAAGAGAACTCTGAATATATATTCTAAAAACTCTTGATATCAGCTATAGTATATACTACAAAAAGTTCTCAAGAATGAGTCCCTTTTTTTAACTTCAAGTGTAGTGGTGAATACTCGACCGGCTTTCGATTCTATGAGTTATCGTCGTGTAGCTACGTACCATTTCATTAATTTAATATATGAAAATAAATTTCTCTTTTCTTCGGTCCATTCTTAGAGTCGACTCGGTAAAGAGAGTAGACTTGGCAAAGGTATACCCCCTTTTTATTCATTTAGAAATCGAAGTAAATTCTAATTTTTTATTTTTTATTTCCAAATGAACACTGTGCATTAGCGCAAAATCGACTTTTTATACGCAGAACAGAATCGGTGCAAATTTTTTTTTGAAGAGCTTATTATATGAATACTTTGTTCTACGTATGTAATATGACCCATTTTTATTTCCTACGTTTTATTCTATGATTTTATGCTTTATTCTTCATTTATTTACTTGTTTTTATGATTTATCTTCAAATAAACTTAATTAATTCAAAAAGACTATTATGACACTCTTCAATTCCTTAGGTGCTGGGTACTACAGCATTAGGCTCGGTACTTGCAATAGAAACCTCAAAAAACTTGGAAAGGAAGAAAGTATATACTATTAATTGCAAAATATAAGGCAGTCCATTGTTTGTCTAATAACTTTTGATGGCAAAGAGCTAAAGAGCTGCGACTTTCACTATTGAAAAGTAAATTGAAGGGGCTATATGCCTACGGAACAATACTAGTAAAAATACCACCTGCAGGTAGTTAGCCACTTCAAGGCAATTTGTTTTTATTTGTCATCATATTTTGAGTGTTTCGTGAAAATTTGATCAATTTCTGACGTAAAAAGAGTGAGATATATCTGTTTGAAGTTCAGGAGTCCGTAGACAAATACTCGGTTTTTTAGAGAAATGATTCTGGCAAACTTTGTTCAACTTTTGTCGAAAAACCAACATTGCCACGATGTTCAGGGTACTCGATTACCTATGTCTCGAGTCTTTTCGAAGTCTCTAGGTTTGCTCGGACCGAGACAGCATGGTCGTCAAGGAACCTTTCTAGCTGCTCAACCTTGAATGGTACTGATCTGAGACACATTTAGAACTGAAGATTTCGATCTAGTGCATCTACCTAACGTCTCAGAATTCAAAATTCGAAACCCTTTTACTCATGAGTAACCGTCATAAATACCGTTTTGAAACCAATGGCCGCTACCTGCCATCTTTTACCCACCACCTATCTTACCCTCATCTTATTTTATCCATTTAGAAATCGAAGTAAATTCTAATTTTTCCTTTTTTCTTCTAAAGGAACACTGTGTGTAATCCTTTTACCTGGTCCACCGGGTAAAAGGTAGTACTCAAATGACTAATTCTCCAAAAGTTCGAAAATTAACAATTGCATTAGATTAGATTCAAACCTTCCTTTTCAATTAAAAGTAGTATTTAAAAACTTTGTTTAGCCCGAAACTTTTAACAATAGAGCAGTTCTTCCATTACGCGTCCGACGTAGCGCCATCTGTCGCACATTGTTTTGCAAACTTATTAACTTCGGTGCCGAAATAGAAATATGTTTTCAATAAATAGCTGAAGACGCTGGTTCTGAATATGTTCTTTGAAATCACGTAGCATAATTGAGTAAGCAAAGAATCTTTATTTCGTATGTAGTAACGATATCCGTAATCGGTTTTGTGTACCGTGATTTCTCGTCGTAGGAACTATTTTCAAATTAGACATTTATATACCAGTCAATAGCCCCTTGAAAGGGCTACATTTTCCACTATTTGCATTTGAATTAGGAGCAACTTGGATTATTTACCTAATTTCCGCCTGGATGCCAACTGTGCTACGCTTGCTCGGATCAAGACAGCATAGTCGTGAAGGAACCTTTCTAGCTGCTCAACCTTGAATGGTACTGATCTGAGACACATTTAGAACTGAAGATTTCGATCTAGTGCATCTACCTAACGTCTCAGAATTCAAAATTCGAAACCCTTTTAGTCATGAGTAACCGTCTGCAAAATGTTCTAAAGAGGCTTACCACCTGCAGGTGATATTTTTACTAGTATTATTCAGTAGGCATATAGCCCCATCAATTTACTTTCCAAGAGTGAAAGCCGCAGCTCTCTAGCTCTGTGCTGTCAAAAATTATTAGACAAACAATCGACTGCCTTATATTTTGAAATGGATAGTAGTCATATTTTTCATGAATAAATCAAGGATAATTATTTTTCGACCACGTCTTGAAAGAAGAATGTATCTTGTAAAAACACGACGGGTGATTATATCATAGATTAAAGTTAATATCCCATTACAGTTACTACTAATAATCAAGCAGCTTACAGATGAATGCGTTTTGCTTATAAATCATGATTCATTTCAGAAACACCCTAATGCAAATAGTATGTTTCGATATGATTATAAAAACATTCCAAATATTTTCAGACGAAAAGATGTTTTTGAAAACGATTAGTCAGAGAGCCTCCTTTAAGCAGCATTTCGGCAGCATCAACAATTCATGGGCTAAACTGACTCATTAAGGAGTTTTGGTCTATTGGCAGTGCCTTCTTATCCTATGTGCTAATTGTGCTATAGCACAGGGGCCCGGCTGACTAAGGGGCCCAATCGAACGGCTTAAACCTTGCATTTTGCTATATTTAAAAAAAATACAAGTTGATGTGTTGAAAACGTTGATGATCAGCACAGAGGCCGCAAATTTCTTAAAACGGCTCTGTCTATTGGTAGACTATTAAGCCGAGTTTTCTTTAAATAAAAACAAATATTTTCACACTGAAAACATAATTACTTTTATAAATAGTTAATAATCATCATTCTTATATATATATATGTGCTAATATCAAGCAGAACTATTTTCGCTGAGTGACGAGTGATTTGTTTTGCTTAGGATAGATGTCAACACTTTATACTTATTTTTTGTACATGTTTGTTCGTGGTTTGATAATAGTGTTTCTAGATATACTTTTTTCTGGTTCAGTTGGTATATATCTTGTTCTAAACAGTTTGATTGCGTTTCTAATCCAACAATTTGTTCGCGTAAGTTTGCGTCAAGATTTTTGCGTTTACGAGCTGCACGTTCTTGTGCTATACGGTTTTTTTGTCGACGCCTTTCTCTTTGAAATGCTTCAGTTGGTGGTAATACATCATACTTTGATTTTCTACCTGTAGCAAGCGTTAATGCTGGATGTTTTCTTGGTTTAATTGTGATGGGACCATATTTTGTTATCAAACAGCTACATTCTTCTGGGTAGTCATCAAACTCACCGCCATCAGAAGAATGGGTTAAACTTTGTAAGTCATCAGAACCTAGAAGAAAATAAAATGTGTCACTTTTGAGGATAGTATCAGCTGCAATGCAAATGCAAGAATAAACAGTGACAATAGTCGCTACTGTCTAATATCTTATTTTTCATATTAAGAGTTTCTGACGAACCTTGCGTTTCGTAGGTATAGATTGCTGAGACTTGTTTCGTAAATGTTTGCGGATCACAATTTCTTGATAAATAATCTTCGTCTTCGGTCTCATTTTGGAGTTTATTGACAGCACAGCTAAATAAGCAGAAGAAAAACGTAGTTATACTGAATTAGTAAGGAAGAAACAAAACTTTAGCGAAGCTTTTTCCTTATGGCATGTGACGTTCTTGAGTAAGAATCTGATGTCACAGAAACATGTCTTAGTCATGCACAACTTAATTTTTCCCGTTTATGCGTGTGAGTTTCTTTTTCTGTCTGTTCGATCCACTTGAACCAATAAACTTTAAAACTGTAATTTCATCCTTTCAATGTGAATAGGGACTACAAATAGCGGTACCAAGCCTTTTGATTGCTATTATCATTATCATTTGACTACTTTGGTACCGTCCATGTATAATATATACAAGAACCTAGCAAATAAGAAGATATAACTTTTCGCAAAAAAAATCTTGTGGATGGATATATTGCGCACATCTGACTTTTGAACTTTAAGTTTTTATTTTGTGACGTAGCTTTCTGTTGTGTTATATCTTTTGTCTGATGTGATCTATTCTGCCGTTAGTAGATTTTTGAATGCACTGGGTGCCACGTTGACCTTGACGCACAAAATACTAAGTGCCAAGCTATTTCGACTTTATTCATAAGATGTTAGATTGACTCCACAGACGAACTATCAGCATCAGTGTCAAAAGGATATGCATTCTGTCTCAAAGTTTTTGTGCATTCACTTTAAAATGTCGTGAATTTTTAAATAAAAATGACTTCTTTTGCTGTGTAGACAAAGATTGTGGTATGATGAAATGCTACATGGTCAAGAAATATCCACTTATTGCAGTATGTTCTCATAGATAAGTCCAAATAAAACGCAGTGCGATCAAGTCTTAAAAACAGAGCTATAGCTATTTGAAAACGGAGAGGAGAGAATGACTTAGAGTACACGCGTATCTGAAGTGTTTTGCATCTATAAGAATTTCGGGAATAAAAAGCTTCACTAGTAAAGGAATCAGAAACATTTTTTACTTTGTATCTGAGCAGTTTTTTCGTCTCGATAGTACCGAGACCGGTGGAAGTGTCTGATGTAAATCTTTTCTTGCATCACGGACTAATGATTTAAAATTAGATAAGGATACTTTGCCACCATCTGGAGTTAAACTAACATCATCCTCGATCTGAGAGTTCACAGAATCAGCTGAGCTTGAATAATCGCTTAATCCAACGAAACGGTAATCATTCTTTTTGTCATTATATGCTTTTATTTCTGGCCAGAGATTGTTAATGTCGTTTATTGGCATTGTTTGATTATTACGTATACATCCAAAACATCAGTATAAACTTTCTACTCTAAAATATCGTTTATGAAGGTATAAAGCTCGAAGAAAAAAAAAACAGAAGAAGAGCAGTGTAAATAGACTCGCCGTATTTCAGACGAATATAAATAAAAAAACCAAACAATTCAACTCAGTTTCTTGACAAAACATGCCTTCATCTTCTTACATACAGAATTTATATTTTCAACTTTTTAGAAGGTTTCTATATGCTGTTGAACTAACAGTTCAACAGTTCAACTCTAAAGCTGGTTGAACTTTTCTTATTTAATTGAGTTGTCAAATGGTTTTTTGATTTTTGATTTTTATGCAGTTGATGCAACAATCCAACATATACTATATAGTGTCCTTCCAAGTAGTTGAAAATATAAATTCTGTATGTAAGAAGATGAAACCATGTTCTGTTAATAAACTGAGTTAAATCTTCGAGCTACACAAACGACCTTTATTTTAAAAATGTGTACGAGTACGCTTTTTTATATCTCTAATCGAAAGTCAAAACCATATCCTTACCTCAACAAAACGAAAATGTAAAAAATTTTTTTTTTTTATTCTCAATTTTTATTATTCTCATCAAATGAGAAAAATAACAGCTGAATGGTTAAGACGGGTAATGATTGCACCGTACCTGTACACCATGCACCCGCACTCAAACTTTGGTTCCGCTACGGTTACAATTCGGTTGATCGATTTGTTTATCTGTCAGCATACTGGGAGACGCTTCATATCGCTATGAAAAAGTATGCTTGCGTCTTCTCAACACTATAGGCAATCACCGTTATTTTCTTTCTGATGTAAACAGAGTAGACTACCAAAATCTACTGATTACATCAGACAAGCCATTGAGAGTTTGACATGTAGTTAAATGATACTCATCTGAAAAATTAGTTTGTCTATTGAAGCTCCTTCGCTGATTTTCTTTCAAATTTTTATTCGCAGAGTTTTCTTTCTCAATGACATGTAGACTTAAGCATAACATAAATGCAAAATTGGGTAGTTCTACTAGATACTTGCATCGCATAATATGTGATAAGTATCGTTGTCTTTATTTGGTTTATTATTCCGGATGAATGAGATTCATTATTATTTTTGAGTCGTGCATCATTTTGACCCATACGAGTGAGAAGTATTGGTGATGAATAGTGTTGATGAGTTATCATCTCACCTTTCTTAGAATATGGTGTTGGAATATAAAAATTGTTATTTATCGGTTCTATTTCAAATGAACTGAAAGCCGTTTGATTATTATCATAAGGAAGCTTGCAATCCCATTCATTCTTTCGTTCAATGCATTCCATCTCGAAGTCCGCATTTGTTGACTGTTGACTGAACATTTGTTTATCATTATTGTCTGAAACTACAGGTGTAATTACAGACGAAGCGGTTGTTTGGTATAATATTTGCAACTTCTTTTTCCATTTACAACATGTGTCGTTCGGCATTAGTAGAGAAAAGTCTAAAAAAGAGGGAGATTCAAACTAATTGTTATGATTTAGTATTCTGGTGTAACATTCTCAATGTCATGCCATCCTTACCCAAGGCAAGATATCTTACTATTATACTTTATAAAGACTAATTACACGATGTAAAAGTGATGATGTATGTATTTGTTAAAGAATAACGTTGAAATGAAAAAAAGAAAACGGTTTGTTTCGCTCTGATAATTACGACGGCTAGTTTTAATAATATATTAATCGAAATATGTATGAATCAATTGGACATAAAGCGACTATCGTTAAGAGTCAGTCTATCGAAATATAGAATGCTAAAAGAATAGATCAATGGATACCGTGTCAAGGTAGTTATTCAGACATGAGAAACAACTCCGAACTATCGTCAAGATAGTAATACTCAAGACAGTCTATTCAATAGTCGATTAGTATTTAGAATGATACTCACAGTAACATAGAACATAGAAAAGATTTAATTTTGAGGATGTTCAAATCACGACTTGTCTAATAATTTCTTCTTAGATAATTTTTCGATACAACACACATTAGAAAAATATGCCTCAGTCGTGAATCTTCCTCAGGACAGTGGGATTTTGGACCACAAGTTCAATTACTAAGCTATCGGGATATGGTCTAATCATCTTCTTCTAGTATATATCCAAATGGGTGTTCTTACTCACCAAAATAGTCATTGCAGTTCGAGTACAGTCACATATCGATTGAATACGTTCAGTATGAAAGAGTCTTACACTAGAAGCTAATAATTAGTTCGCGTATCGATAGCTTAGTGATTTGAGGTTGGGTCCACTAATTGTACTATCTTGAGGATGATTCACAGTCAAGGCATATTTTTTCATAATGTATTATATTGAAAAAATCTCTTTACCGTTTTCTGAGTTTGTGATTTCAAAAACCTTTGTAAAAATGTCTTCTCTGTCTTGAATATACATACCTTTCGTATACATAATCAGCGAACGATTACTTAAACTATATTTAAATTTTTTGATGTGATAATTGACAAAATCTCTTTTTGGATACTTTCTCTCTTAAATAAAGTGTCCCGGTAAGTCTTGTATTCATATAAAAAAATGGAGAGAAGCACGTAAGCGACTGTTATATTTTTCTTTCTTTCACATTGCAATGGCAAGGTTAGTATTGTGATGCATCAGTTAGCACGTTTCGTGAATCCAAGTGAATGAATCATCGGTCTTTTAGTTGATATTTTACATATATTGTTTACAAATCATTTGACATGTTAACTAATTTGTTTTGCCCACATACGTACGCATAATCATTCTTTTCCGCGTGGTAATCCAAAATTAATGTAGTTTTACGATAGATAATAGTGAGCTACAGTATGTATTGCAATAAAATAAATAGAGCGATAACTGCTGCTAGATCGTAGTCGAAAATTTCATTTGCTATTATATAAAAATCGATGATTGTTGTTGGCATACATTTCTTAGTATATAAAAATCAATGATTGTTGTTTGCATATATTGGTTATTATATATATAATCAAAAAGAAAAACAATGGGACGGAGGGGAAAAGATGTCTACAATCGATTGTATATGTCTTAACTAAGTTTGATCCTACGTATTGTGGTGTCAGGCATAGTTAGAGTCGGACCGGCCGGTCAACCGATCTAGTTGAACTTTTTTATTAGTCGGCCTGCACCGATTCGTTAGCCAGCTAATCCGTGGAATGAGAACAAAAAAGTATACTTCTTTTACAGATTGCTATTCATTCAAAATTAAAAGATTTCGAATTTTCACGTTGAAAAAATGGTCGACTCAGTTTTTTATCCTGATTCCGAATATGATATTTGCATTATATAGAGGTTGAGTATTGTTGGAGAAAATTGAGAATCACGGGCAGAATTCTGACTTTGCTACATTAATGATGGATGACTAAAATTACCCATGTTGTCAAAATTCCCTAAGTTTGGACGATTAATCACAGTTTTCAAAAAAACAAACGATTAATCGCGATTTCGGCAAAAAATCGTCAACTTTTCGAATATTTGTGATTAATCGCGGTTAATCGGCCGTCTCTAACTAATAAAAATTTTGGTAATTTTTCTTGTTAATCAATCGCGATTAATCGGCGATTTTTCTGTCTTTTTGCCGTCACCGTTTTGTTTTGCATCAGAAGAAATAGAGTACTCAGGCACTCTTCGAAAGTTTCGTCCTTTTTTTGCTATTTCTTGGCCGTTTTTGATCGGAAAAAGTTGCTATTGAACATGATGGTAGACCAAACATTTTTCTACACGCTCATGTAAAAATCTTTTCAAA